CTTCTACCCTCCTTGGCAACTCTCAATTTGGATACCTTCGCCACAACCCCAACAGACGCCGAATTGATCCAATTTCTTGAATTTCACTCCTACACTGCCAAGAAAAAAATTTCTAAAAGGACTGCATTCAAACGAAAAGGCCTTCCCCCAATTTGGAATACTCTGTTTTCCATAATCAACTGTTGATAAACAGGGAAGGTCGGCAGCCATGACCAAGCCTCTCACGCCATGCTTTCCATCGTATATGGAATCTATTTCAACCTGCCTCTTGATTACGCACAACTCATATTCGAAGACATGGTGGGATTAATCAAGAAGAAGTGCGCTACTCAGAGGGGTGAGAAATCTAAAGTGAAGGCACAAAAGAAGGCCAAAGAGGACCTAAATCATCCAAATCTAATTCTGCAAAGGTTCTTTGGTCTGGTATTTGGCGATATGTTAGCAGAGAAGCTGCCCTCTGCAGAGTCTAATGCGCATCTGTATCTAATGAAGGAGTTCCACCCCACAGAGCATAAGCTAGGGTGCAGAATCCCAAGACCTCTATCAAAATCCATGCTCAAATACCTTAGCCACGGAGATAGGAAAGCGTACAAACGTGGATACAGGAGGCCAGAGCCGGTCCCTGAAACCCCTCCACGCATAGGAATCCCCTTAGGAGAGAGAGCACAAAAAATGAGGGTTGAGGGAAGAATGGAGGAGCCAGCAGAGGCTAGAGAGGTGAGTGAGGACAGACCTAGAGTAGCAAGTCCCCCACCAAAGAAGACTATGAAGACTCAGAAGGGTGTTGACTCTTCTGAGAAAAAGAAAGGGAAGAAGAGACCCACAGAAGAAGAGGGTCCAAGCAGTCCTCTGCAAAAGCCAAAGAAGAAGAAATCAAAGAAGGCCCAACTCGCATAGGTTGTGATCATAGAGGATGTACTTCAAGAAAGCCCCGCAGAGGCTGCTCCAAAGCGCAGAAGGTTGCACAAGGTTGTTCATGAAGAGTCCCCAAAAAAGCAGATACACGATGTACTCTTACACATCCAACAAGAGTTGAAAGCGCCCACAGAGGTAGCGGATCTGGGGACAAAAGTCGTAATAGACGACGAAAAAGAAGAGTTGGAGATAGAAGAGGGAGTAAAAGATGCCCAAGGCACACATCCTAGCCCCCCTCCTAGTGCTACCCACATTTCTAGGGACCCTGTTCTAGAGGGAACCCCTATTCAATAAGGCGTGCACACGCTGAGCCCTAAACCAGCAAACCTCACAGAGGACATTCTTTCGTCCTCTGTCGAATGCACAGCCCGGGAACCACAATCAACTCCAACATCCTCTCAAAAGGATGTTGGTTTTACAATAAGAGTCCATTCACCCAGGGACTCGTCATAACCCAGAGAGGCATCTGTTGCCCCTCCACACTTGAGTGAACAACCAAGTCATGCTTCAGAGGCATGCGAGAGAGTCACAGAGGCTGCGGGTCTAGAACGCCCAAAGTCTCAACTCGATTCCTCTGCCAAGTTAGGCTCTGAACCTACTGGGCACGACATTGACATAACACTGGTAGGCTCTCCAATTGGAGATGTTCGAGGATCCGATGGAAGTCCCCGAGCTGACATCGAAAAACCAGTCACTGAGGGCGCCTCACAATCCAAGGCTACTAGGTCACCATGTGTTGGTGATCTAGGTTCCTAGATTACTTATGTGACGAAGGAAGAGTTACAAACCTTCGCCACAGAGGTATTCAAGAGGATGGATGAGTTGAAAAGCTTGTTCTCCTCCCCACCGGCGACAGAGGCTCTTGCACCATTGACAGAGGCTATGAAGGAGTTGACTTCCACAACTTCTGAGCTCAAGGCGACCGTTTCAGCCCTTCAGAGCTCTGTCCTCAACAAAGGTGATCTAGCAGAAGCATTCAGCGCCCTGTCACTCAACCCTTCTTCAATCAAAAAGCTCAAGACAGAACTATCAGAAGTTGCCGCCTAATTCGCTGCAGACTTCATTTCCGCCGGCTACACGGATTGTTCTGCCTTCAAGGACGAGATCAAAGGGATGTTTTCTTCTACAGTCACCTATGGCATTGACTCTAAATCCTCCAAGGCTAACATTAACCATCTAGCCACTCGCAAAGAGCTAGACGCAATGGTTGAGGCCCTTGGAGAGATCGTACAGAAATACACTAACCAACTCCTCGAGGAAGCCCGAGCAAGCAACGAAGCTATAAGAGACTACACGAAGAAACTCGTCAAAGAAGGTGATAACTTCAGAAATGATATCTATCGCTGCATCTCTAAGATGAAATGGGCCACAGAGAGGGATATCAACACTGCCTCTGTGATTGATGAGGAGGTCATTCAAAAGATGGAGAGGGCGGCTTTCAAAGTTTTAAAGCGATTGAAGAAGGCTCCCCTTACTATTTGCAAGGCAGAAGCCACTAAAATCCATGACGATCAAGGAGGTGATGACCATGATCGTCATGAGGGGGAGAAGAACACAGAGGAGCCAAAGAAGACAACCTCTGCCAGACCACTAAAAATAGTGGACTCTGCTGCTGCCCTGTTCTCAAAAGATAAATCTCCAGAGCCTAAGGGGAAAGGCAAGGGTAAAGCAGTAGAGGAGTCGCCACAGAAGGGGTCAAGCTCTGAGACGCTGGATGAGATAAATGAAGAAGAGTATGATGACCCGGATCTCGTTTGAGCTTTAAAGGCGTCTTTGGCAGAGGCACAGGCAAGAAACGGCAGAGCCCCTATCCCCAGAGCTGGAGAAGGCTCTTCCTCTAAAATGGCAAATGAGGAAACGTCCACGGGTATGTTTGACGCTCTGGTAGGAACTCTCAAGCCAATCCTACCAGAGGCCGATACTAGAAGAAGAAGAAACCAGAATACCAGAATCTGCCATAGTGGGGAGGGTTTCTGAGATACTTGAATCTATGAGCAAGATTCCTACGTAGAAAGTGCGCACAAAGCCCGTAACCACTATGGAGGAGATTTTGCGGTGGCGTTACTCTGCCGTGGACACAGAGCCCCCTTGCGATCCAGAGCTTATAGGAATGCCCTCTTCCGCTGCAAAGTTCCACTTCTCAAAACTCACAAGGCCACGCGAGCAGGTCTTCCCAGAGTACGTGATAACTTCTCTTGAAACCATATCTCCGAGGACTATGCTGAAGAAGATCGTGCTTTATTCTCAATATGTGGTGAAGAGGGATGACGGCAACCTCTACACTTTCACAGATGCTGACCTCCACAACCTCTGTATAATTGACCTTATCTTCTTGCACAAAATTCTTAACAAGTACATGGAGAGGAGGTCAAGCTATTCGATTTCTATCAGAAGGCTGATTGAGGTGATGCGTGCTCAAGTAAATTTCTACAGACAGAAAGATTTCAACATCGTGATGAGGTTGGCCCAACCAGTTTTGAAGATTTCCCCTCCAAAGAACAGGCCTAGTTGGATGCTTAGGTCTCATCCAAACACCATTGTCCACATTCCCATCTTTAGGTTTGTTTTCCTGGACAAGGATGAGATTCTAAGGTTCTTTGATCCGGCAGAGGTGAACAAGTATTCGACAGAGTCTCTTGAGTGGGTGTTCAACCTAGTAGCAGCAGAGGTGCACATAGGGCATCTAAGGGCGGACGAAGTGACTGGTCTTCTGGAAACAATCAAAGTTCAAGTCTCCTTCAGAGAATGGATATTCAAAGTCTACAAAACTATCAAGTCAAATCTACAATTTGTCGTAGATGACTATCCAGACTCTGCTGTGGACTAATTCTTGTAATAGTGTAGGCCTGTACTTCCAATTTTCAATTTGTTCATTTATGTAATTCTTTTTCAGAGGATGAGTTTAATCTCCTCTTGTAATTCTTTCAATTAGTCATTTCTTGCAACCTTTTGTCTAAATTTACTTTTTCATACTTAGGGGGAGATTGTTAGCTCTGTTATTCATCTCTTGTAAAAGTATAGAAAAAGTATTCTACAAGTTTTGACATAAGCTTATCTTCCATAGAAGACAACAGAGGACTAACGACAGAAGCCTGATATTCAAGAAGTAAAGTGTGACAGAACCTCTGATGTCTCTCACAGAGGTTCTGGAAAATGGTCCTCTGTCAATAAGAACAAGCAAGTCTATTTCAGCAGAGCCTCTGAGATGGCTCACA